CAGTGGTGGGATTCAAATTTTTTTACTACTGGTTCTGTCGGCATGGCTTGGTGGGCGTGGTGTGGCTTGGTTGGTGTGGCAGGGGAAGGATACTGTAAAATCTCCATTCCCACACCACTCCAGGGGAAGGTTACTGCAAAATCCCATTCCCTCCCCACCCCACTAACCTGCTTTCCAGCTCCATTCTCCTGTGCAGGGCAACCAAAGAAGAGCCAGCCAATCAGCTGGGACTCAGGAGGCAGAGAATAGATGGGGGTGGGGCCAATCAGAGGTGTTATTTGCCAGTTCTCCAAACTACTCAAAATTTCCGCTACCGGTTCTCCAGAACTGGTCAGAACCTGCTGAATATCACCTCTGCTCAAAACTCTTCTATAGACAGCACAAGATAATATTGTTGATTTAGTGTTACATGGCACACATAATTCAGGCCTCCCATACCTTGTCACTATTTATCACTCCTTGGATTATGGCCTTCAAGATGGCAGAACCCATTCTGCTTCACTCAGCAGGATTTTGAGGTCACATATTTGCAGTTCTCTATTAAGCCCCAACCACCAGTGCATTACAATAAAGACTTGTATGTTATAATAAGTACTTGATGTTCTTGGAATATAAATATATCAAGAAAGCGTTTCCCATAATTGCTACTTTTTAGCTCTGTTTGCAAAACATACTTAGTAAACTCAAGGGTTGATGTATTGGTACACATTAAACCTGATATGCTTGTTGTTGTTGCTTAGGGTGCTGTGAAATTGAGTTAATTTATGGGTTGGGTTAATTTATGGCTCAGTGTATTGTGCCAACTCAGAATATGGATTATGTAATATGGTTAGCATGGGGTGTGAAAATAGCAATTCAAAGCTCATTTACTTGGCTTTGGCATCATTTCATATTGACTTTGCTCTTGTTGTCCTGGGTTATGAGGACAAAGAGTTGGGAGTTTGGAGGGAGAAACCAGCATGTTGGGTTTTGTCCTTCAACCTCTTGTGTTCCTAGTCTGAGGTTGGGACCATAAGGTAAAGGTAAAGGTTCCCCTCGCACATACATGTTAGTCATTTCTGGCTCTAGTGGGTGGTGCTCATCTCCTTTACAAAGCTGAAGAGCCAGCACTGTCTGAAGACGTCTCCGTGGTCATGTGGCTGGCATGACTAAATGCTGAAGGTGCACGGAATGCTACGCTATTACCTTTCCACCAAAGTGGGCCCTGTTTTTCTACTTGCATTTTCACATGCTTTCGAACTGCTAGGTTGGCAGAAGCTAGGACAGGTAACAGGAGCTCACTCCATTATTCAGTGCTAGGGATTCGAACTGCTGAACCGCTGAACCCTTCTGATAGACAAGCTCAGCATCTTAGCCATTGAGCCACCGTGTCCCTCTTTTTTTTGGGGGGGGGGGAGGAAACCATAGTGTGATTCTATTGGTCTTCTGCAGAGCATGTTACATCAAATCCATAGTTGAAGTATCTGTAGATTCTGACAAAAATGAACATCAGGAACTTGAATTATGGAGATTCTTTCACTAGATCTACCCAGAAGAAACAATATAGGGTTACAAAAATTCTAGCAAATGAATGGCTTTTGATGAACTGGCTGTCCTCTTCATTCTTAACAGGGCTGAATATAAAACTTAAACTGAATCCTTATCACCCTGGACGTTGGCTATCACATCTGCCTACATTTGTCCTGTGTTGTCATGACCTCCTGGGTGGGAAAAGTGTTCACATGCATATTGCATCATAGCCTATTTGGATGAATTCATATGAAAGATAGAAGGGACAGAAACATTGGAGAAAAAGAATCAAGGGAGAGTTGAGCAGGGACTTCTTCTGTCTCCAAAGTAGCTCTTTCAATCTCTTTTGGATCTGCAATTTAGGGTCTAGAGCAACAGAAAGAATTGTCCAGGTTTCAAGGCTGAGTTCCTTGAGACCATGCTCTTTTAAGAAGTCCCAGATGAGTTCAGCCTAAAGATATCGAGAAGAAGGGAATCAACTTCTCTAAGGTTGATGATAGCCTTTCCTACTTGTGCATCCAGAATTGCTACTGCTTGCTCACTTGAACTCCTAGATCTCAATCTTTCTTTGACTATCCTGTCTGCTAGCTCTTCTAGATTTATGGTTCTTCCTCTGTTATTTTGAACATTGTACTAGATTTTACTTAACCTTGTTGAGAGAGTCTTTTGCTCACTGACCTTTCTTTAATGGATTACATTTTTGCTTGTTCCCTGTTTTGGATAGCACAATGGTTGATGTATAGCTTTCTATGCAGTAGGAAAATCTGATAACTGTCCATGTGTTGGTAGAAAAAAAGGATGTATGTCTAAGCAACTGCTAGAGCAATAGCTTCTCTTTCCTGTGGACAGCCACACATTTTTTGTAGCTCCACAATTTGATGTCATTGCAGAAAAGTCCTTCTGTCTACTAAGCCAGCTGGTTAGGCTCAGAAGTCAAGAAGAGAAGGAACCAGGCCTCTAAAGCAAACTTTAGTTCACTGGCAGAACAACAAACTCCAACGAATGCAGGTGCTAAGTCAACTCTAGGTGCACAGGAAGTTGCTTTGAAATTATACTGACTGGTGGGACTTGTTCTTGTTTAATGCTCTCTTCAAAGTTCATACATTTTGTTATAAATGGACATGGAAAGAATCCAGTAATGCATTTTTTCCTTTGTATAAATAAGATGCTACGATCTTCCTCTTTGAAGCTCAGGCGGAAATGATTTATGTTTTGATACCAAGCATGCTTGCTGCCTCTTTACCTTGCACATATCTACTGATGTACAAAATCTACAGGCGCCTTGCTGTGTTTTTAGAATGTTAATGTTCCTTGTATACCACAGTTTCTAAAAAAATTCCCAGCAATATATTTATCTTTCTATGGCCATTAGCAGAAAAATGGCACAGAGAAAATTCAGACTTTTTTTTTCTTCCTCAGTAAGAACAGCCATAGAGAGTTCATTTACTGGAGGCTGTGAATGAATCCCTTTCATGACTATATGGACTTGTCTATACCAAAAGAGCTTTTGTGTACTGGGCAATGCGTGAAAGAAAATACAGTTTTGGGAGAGGGGTACTTGGATGTTTAAAGTCCACTTTGTTCCCTAATAATGTTGCTGTGTAATAGGAATGAGGGCCGTTTTAAATGAATTAGGATAAAATTTGTACTATCTATTCTAGAGGTAGTTCAAATATACTTTTCCTTATAAAGTGTAGAGATGTACGCATAAGATGTATCCATGAATGTTAGATAGAGGCTGGAATTTTTTGGGATGGGGGAAAAATCTGTGGGCAAAGATAGAAGGTTAGATGATTTTGTTAAAATTTACAGGGAAATTGAAGAGTCTCCAGTTTTTCTCAAGGGTAGGGACAACTAAGTGATGCTTTTCAACCTTCACAACTTTAAGGTGTGTGGAATATCAACTTCCAGAATTCTCCATGCTGGATTGTTGAAGTCCACACATCTTCAAGTTGGCAAGTAGAGAAATGTGGCTTCTTACATCTGTACTCAATCCCCAAACAAGACATTCGGTGACAACTTATCCAGTAGGATCTTTTCAGTACAGTGCTAGTGTTAACATCAAGAGAGAGTCTTACCCTCGAAATAAGCAGAAATTTTGAGTGGTTCGGAGAACCGGCAAATACCAACTCTGACTGGAGATTTTACTGCCACTCCCACCAAACCACGCCCACAGAACTGGTAGTAAATTTTTTTGAATCCCACCACTGTTCCCCACCCCACTAACCTGCTTTCCAGCTCCGTTCTCCTGCGCAGGGCAACAAAAGAAGACCCAGCCGATCAGCTGGGACTTAGGAGGCAGAGAATACTTGCCAATAATTCTGATGATTTAGAAAAGTTTTCTGCATATGCACTTTTTAAAAATTGATTCGAAGGAAACAAACTACCTGAGTCGAAATACAGTCATATCAAATTTAATGTTTCAAACCAAGTTAATTATTTGAACCTAGGTTATGCTTTTTCATTGCTAATATCAAACTTTTCACTGTTTAAGATATGACACCCTTCACAAATACTATGCGTGGAAATATTTAAAATATATAACCCAAGAGGTAGTTCTGTGTGAGGAGCAGAGGTGATATCCAGCAGGTACTAACCAGTTCCGGAGAACCGGTAGCGGAAATTTTGAGTAGTTCAGAGAACCAGCAAACACCACCTCTTACAGGCCCCGCCGCCATCTATTTGCCTCAGCTGCTCACCCTATGCTGATTCACCTCAGAAAGTCATCAACCAAGAGGAATTTTGTTGATATTTTATTATGCAACAAAAAGGCATTTTTCTTTCTCACTTTCTATTGCTGTATTTCTTCACTAACCATCAGAAGGAATGTTCTGATTGAGAACTGCATTAAAATGCAAAATTTATCTGTCATTTTTTGAATTTTCAGATTTATATCTCCTCTGTGACTTTCAGTTCTCTTACCTTTCAAATCAATGCTAAAAGAAAACCCACCCAGGCATATTTACAAAAATGAATAAGAGCATTGCTGTTTCCTAATACCTTTTTGAGAAATGTTTCATGTGCTTATGTAGTTATTTATGGAGTCCTGCCTTGGTCCTCAGTGTTCCAGAACTTTGAAAAGGCCATTGGCCCAAGACAGTAGACGCAGTTTACTTACTGCGGCAGACCCTGGGCCAGATTAAAGCTAGTGATTGGCAGATAAACTCTTTTCTTCAGCCTTAGTTGACTGCCTTCACTGTTCAGGGCTCAAATTCCCTGCATTCCAAGCCTGTCGCTGGTCTCTTTTATAACCTCCCACTTCCTAGCTTAGCAATGAAGCCGTTGTGGCAATTTCAGGTACTGGAAAAGGCCTTGGGACCTCTCCTTCTCAACTGCCATCCTTCCAGACATCCTTTTCCATCTCCTCCCTCCCACTCCCCATCATTCATGCATCTTAGAGGTTGGCCCCCTGCCTTCCTGGGGACAGGCCCCTTAATACCTCAAAGCCACCCCTGAGATAATCCCACTTTGCTTCCATCCTAGCAGCCATAATGACGCTCCTTTCTGTCTGCCTATTCTTGCTCTTGCTTCTTTTCCAGGACCAGGGTTCTGTTGATGGGGTTCGTCCTCAGCTGAGAGGTGAGTCATAGCATATCTTGGTTAGCTTTTGCAAAACTTTGCCAGGTTAGAGCAGCCATGCAGAAAGGAAACCCAGAAAGAGGCAGCCGTCTGAATGTTTGTGGCTTAAATATTTATATGACGGGTCCTTTCCCTTTTCCTATCACACTATAAAGCTCTCTTCCCAGCTGATGCTTTGGTCTTAATTTTGGATTCAGCACTAACCTAGCATCAAGATTAACTTTACTTTAGTGTTACAACATTATTGTGAATGCCAGTTTTATAATCCCAGTCCAAGAGCTTCTGTTCTCAATCAATCAATCAATCAAGGGGGCGTGCATAAGCACACCAACGTCCCTGTCCTATTGTTTCTTTTATTTTTCTTATATGTATCCATTTCATGTATTCATAACTATGTTTATACCTATTATCTTGTAAGCGATTGACAAATCAAATTAAATAAAAAATTAAAAATTAAAAAATTATTTGAGTTCAGGAAAGAACTGAGTGCCTAAGTAGAATATATAGAAATTGAGCACCCTCTCCAGTCTCCAATAACTCCAATAATTGCCTGCACAGCGTCCTGTTGAAAGAAATAATTTCATGAAGCCCTGGGATTTGACATTTGATTCCGGAGCCTTTTCTGGCTGGGGGAATTGCAACTTTATTCTGCTTCTGGAGAGCAAGTTGCAGTCTGAGATTCTCATAGAATAACTGGGAGATAATTTATAATGCCATGGTAGAGCTCAGTGAAATGGGTTTTCTAGGATTCTGCACAAGCTACCAATGTCCTATTTAGCCTTCTCAACTGATTTCTTGCTTCTGTGAGTAGGAGGTAGCTGCCCGTCTTCTCAAATAAAATCTACTTTCAAAGATTGCACCGAAGGAGAGATAATGAAAAGGTTTATCAATAGAATAAGAAAGAGGGAGTCAGGAGAATAGAAAGCTTATTATTTAATCTGTGGAACTCCTTGTAATAGGAAGCCTTTAGTGCAAACAGTAAGGCTTGATTCTTTTTGGAAGGTAGCTGATCCAAGAAGGTCAGATCCAAGATTTAGAATAGAACAGAACAGAATAGAAATAATGGGATGGGATGGAATGGGATGGAATGGAATGGAATGGAATAGAATAGAATAGAATAGAATAGAATAGAATAGAATAGAATAGAATAGAATAGAATAGAATAGAATAGAATAGAATAGAAATAATGGGATGGGATGGGATAGAACAGAACAGAACAGAAAATAATTCTTTATTGGCCATGTGTGATTAGATACACAAGGAATTTGTCTCTGGTGCATAAGCTCTCATGGTACATACAAACAACAAAGTGATAAGTCTTAGTGTATATGCAATCAACAGTATAAATACAAACAACAAAGTGATAAGATTTGAAGAAGGTTTCAATGCAGATCAAGCTATAATGGATACAAGTATTTCTTTACATACTAATGTGTTTTTAATTCTCTTTTCTACAAATGCAGAAGAAAGTCATAATCTAAAACATCCATCAATGGCTATTAGGCATAGCAGTTATTTCTCTCTCGACCCACTTTCTAGCAGCTAATGTTTTCAGGGTTATTGTATTCATCAGTTACAGCCCTGAATATTTTCCAGCTCTTGAGCTTGCAATCTCAAATTCTGGATCCATAAGAAAAAGAGATGGAAAGAAAAGAAGAAACAAGGGAAAATTCAGACACTGACCGTTAAAATTATAGTTTTTGGTCTGTCTTGCTGAACAAAAACAGCAATCAGTTCAGTGACGGTTGGAGGAAATGCAAAGGGAGATGGTTTTTCAGAAGATGTAATGGAATTACTTTGACTCTCACACTTTTCTTGCTTCTTAAGATCAAATTTTCTTTTGACCCTGAAGTTAGCTATTCTACCATACTCCTTTGGCAGGAGATTTCAGGCAGTTACTGTATTTGCTTACAATCTCTAGGGATCACAGAATAGAGCAAATATGTGTGATGGGTAGTAAAAATATTTTACTGCAATGCAAAGACATGATGGATTTGTCAATATTTCAACATTTCCTCTGGTTTACAAGAGGATTTAATATAAATTCTCTCTTGATATACATACCTACCTACTTACCTATCTACATATGTATATATACAATGAGTGTGTGTATGATTTATGTAATAGGACTGTGTCTGACATATTTATTTTTATACATCTTTTTGCTGTATGGTTTTTGTATGGCTCATTTCTTGTGAGATGGGTGGCTCTATAAATTTGATAGATAAATAAATAAGCATTTGTTGGACAAAAATAGTCTGCATCTGCCGGTCCATCCTTGACTGTTTGGGCTGCTGGGTGTGAATTTCTGTGATTTTTAGAGAATGGTGTGAAAGAGGCAAAAATACAATCTTGTTGTTTTTTTTTCTCTGCAAGCCACCAATGTCAGGACAAAGACTGTGCCATTATTTCTTTTTGGCTTTATTATAATGACTGCAGATCAAACCTGAAGGCAAATCAGAACAAAGGCAGAGCCTCCATCGTTAATGTAAATCCCAGAAAAGTAATCCCATTTAACATTTCAAGTCCTATTAGAGTGAAATGCTCCGAGTTAAGCCAAAAACCTTCAACCCACCCTACAACTTGGTCAAAGATTTATGTGTAACATTAGTGAGTGTGTTGAACACTGAATATTCAAAGAGGATTGAAATATATACCCCAGTGGTTTTGTTATTTTGGAGGGAATATAGTCCTAAAGAAAAATACATTGTTACTGGCGTCATCTGACATACCATAATTCTGGTGCCAACAGACCAGCAGTAGAAAAATTGGAAGGGGGAATTAAGTGAGGTTGAGGGTTTATATATATCCTCCCTATTTAGGGTATGGTGTGAATCTTGGATAGTTTGGGATTAAACCACCTCTGACAATAGCTCCATGTTCTCACACCCCATTTTAAGATGTTCCAATGTCTGATTTTCCCACAATTGACCAAAGTCAGCAATAGAGGCTGAGGAGGAATGAGGAGAAGAAACAAGTTCTGGGATTTGTCTCTCCAAGAGAATTCCAGTACTAAATTCACAGGGAAAAATACAACATATGGAATAGTCTACACTAGAGGTCATAAGATTGTAGCATAACAGGAGAAATCATTGGAAGAAACTGTGAAGTTTTCATATGGGAAAAGATCATAAGGATGAATGTCTGTGGAGATTCTCAATCATCCAGGTTATGGTTGTCCTAAAGGTGCTTTTCCAAAATGCAACTGCACTTTCTTGGGTTTTTTTTCTCTTTGAAGGTGTTTCTGAATAAGTGAAGAAACTTCTTGGGTGAGAAGCAAAACATTTTCAAAGGAAAAATAAAACTCAAGGAAGTCTAGTTGCATTTTGAAAAAAGCACTTTTGGAATTATCATAAGGTTGGAATTCTATTTCCATCTAGTTGAGACGAAGTCCAAATGAATTCAGTGGGATCTACTTCTAATAGATCAGTGTCATACTTCTAATTTTTGAAAAAAACAAAACCTGTCCCCTTCTCCCAAATAGGTGCCCAGTGTAGGACAAGACCTACAGATCTGGTGTTCATTGTGGACAGCTCCCGAAGTGTGCGCCCCAATGAATTTGACAAAGTCAAGATTTTTGTGTCTCAGGTCATTGAGGCACTTGATGTAGGTCCTAATACAACCCGGGTTGGGGTCATCAACTATGCCAGTGCTGTCAAGAACGAATTGTCCCTAAGAACACACCAGACGAAGACCAGCCTCTTACAAGCGGTTCGCAAGATTGAGCCTCTCTCCACTGGGACCATGACAGGCCTGGCTATACAGTTTGCCATCAACAGAGCGTTCAGTGAAGGAGAAGGAGCCAGGGTGAGATCCCCAGAGATCAACAAGGTGAGATTGTCAAGAAGCTTTTATTTTCTTTTTGCTTTGTTTTGTGGCCATCATTCCATGAACTTAGTTCTCCCCGTCTCTTGTTTGCAACCTGTGTTTTCAGGAGCACTGGTGGTCCTCAAAGTTCATTACATTTTGTGGGTACTTAGATGATTTTTTTAATGATTAAAGGTCTAATGAGATTTGGCATAGTTATTAGAAATCAAATAGTTCAAATAGCACCACTTGAACGCCATTGGCATTGACAAATTTACCATCAGTCACTTGCAAAAGACAGCTTTACTCAAAACAGTTTACATCCTGTGATGATTTCTGTTACCATTAAACATCCACTTCTGCCTATCCCAGGTCCTTGGGAAAGACTTGATAGGTAGACAAAAATGCCAAATCCAGTCTGAGCATCTGACTGACTGTGCAAAGAACCATAATAATATCTGAACCATTAAACTGCAGGACTAATGGGAAGTGTGGAAACTTAATGCTCCTGACATGTCTCAGGGCTGAGGTCTCCAAAAGACATATTCTCCCTTCCTAGGGGCCTCATCTTCTCACAGCAATTTAATGAGATACAGTAGAATCTCAGGTTGCGACCATAATCCGTTCCAGGACTACGGTTACAACCTGATTTGGTCATGACTGGAAGCACGACCATCTGCACATGCACAGACCCCAAAAAACAACAAAATTGGTGGTGAAGGGGAAATCGCCATGGCAGGGAAAATCACCACAGAGATTTTTGGGTTTGCTTGGTCATGACCTGAAGATCTGTTCACGACCAGAAGCAAAACAGAAGCAATAATTCTGGTTGTCACCTGATTTGGTCGCGAACAGAAGCGTTCGTGACCCAAGGTTCCACTATACTTGCTTTTCCACTGTTATTAGCTACTAGGAAAACTGTTTAGAATTCCCAGCTTCATGTGCACCACATCTAACAAGCCTTGGAAGGTCACTTGAGGCCTATAGACCTGCAATTGATCACTAACATCCAAGAGGAATATAGGTTTATCCTTGAACAAATGCTTTCATTCCTTTTATTTTTCATATTTAATTTCATAACATACCTTCTCTTCCCCCAACTGCTCTTCTGCTTTTCAGTTACCAAACTGACGCTTAGTCACAACTCAGGGTAACAACCTTTTGATGAAATGTCTCCTCATCAAGTCCTTCAGGAGGAACAAATTTTACCTTCTGCCATACATTCCTTCCCGCTTGTCTTTGTTGTTTTCTGAAGCACCACTTCAGATTCCCTGACCTCATAGAACTAGTCACAAAGCCACAAAGCTCTCATGGTACAGTTTGGAGAATTGGTACACCTCAGCTTTGTGGGATGATGGGGTCAACAAATTCATCAAGCCATGATGCTCTGTTGGTTAAGATAGGCTATAAAAATGTAGTTCTTTGAAGAACAGATTTGGGTGAAAGTGAAGAGCCCTTCAAGGCATTTAGGTTTTAGGTATAAGTGCCCTTTTCTATAAGCATTTTATTCTTGGAGGGATTTAAAGTTAGCTAAATATAATTGACTTCATCACCTTGAGTTTCCCTCACAGGTGGGCTAGAAGCTAAATATATACCAATTGCTAAAGTCAGGTATTCCTTGAGGAGAGCCATAAGTCAATGAGAGAAAAAAAATCTCTTATGGAAAAGAACTTGAAACACTAAATTAAGTTCCTTTTAGGTCCTTAACATTTTCACAAAGATACCTGTTATTGTTATTGTTTTTGTTGTTATGACTATTTCTGGTGCAGGGGAAATATTTTTTACCTCAGACAGAAGGCCCTTCCAACTTCATTAAAAGAACCTTATGGATCATGAAGACCTTTGGCCTTAAGGAAATGGTAGACCACAATTTAGCTGGCATCTCATTGTTTTTAAACCAAACAGAGTTTCAATTTCTTTCACAAGCTGAAAAGAAAATTTCTGCTTATTCTCTTTTTCTCATAAAAGAACAGTTTGTGCGACATGGTCCATGCATTCTGTTTCCAAATATTGATTCATGTCAAGTCAATGTACATGGGAAACTGGTTGTTGCGCTCTGATTCATGACTACAGATGTTTGTTCAACACTTGTAAGAAACATTTGAACATAAAGTTGCATGTGTGAAGTCTTTTTATAGTGTTTAACTAGGAATGCCTAAAGATGGAAGCTGATTATCACAGTTGATTATCACATGGGCATCTGTCTTCATTCTATGTGTGGGGATCAAGACTAAATATTTATTTATCTGGGACAGATTCTCTTTTCTTTTGCTTGGATAATCACAGTTTATTTAGCTTCTATTTTTTAAATCTCTAATCCCTAATGGAGTCATTCTTTTCATTTGGGATCAAGATTCAGAACTCTGGTCTGTTCCTTCTTCTTGTGCCATATCCGCCAATGGATGTTGGCGATCATGTTGGTAATCCTATTTTTATCCATAGCCGCATGAAAAAGTGCTGTTGAGTTTTGTCCAAACTAGTCCCTTAGATTTTGAAGCCATGATGTTCTTCTGCCTGGACATCATTTGCCTTCAATCTTTCCTTGGAGGATTAAGTGAAGTATGCTGCATTTTTCTGGTTGTTGCATCCCATGTCCAAAATATTCTAACTTTCACTTTGTTATGGTTTTGATGATTTCCCTTGCCTTTCCCAGGCGGGTTATCACCTCCTCATTTCTGATTTTGCCAACCCAACTTGTATGTAACAGCTGTCTGTAAATCCACATTTCAAATGCTTCTAGTCTCTTCAAGTGACTTTCTGTCAGAGACCAATTCTCCACTCAGTAGAGCAGGATAGACAAGATGTAGCATCTGACAAGCTTGATTTTCAGTCTGGTCTGTTTAGAATGAGCAAATGACTCAAGATCTGATTATCTGCTTTGGCAGTCCTGGTTAGGCTGGTTCAGAATCTTCTTACATTTTTTTTTAAATAGGTGGGTAGGTATTTTCACTTGTTTTTCTCAACATATGACATGGCCAAAAAATCTGTTCACGCTTCTTTGACCTGCTTATTCACAGCAGTGGAACGTGCTTCCTAGGGAGATTTCTTTCTCTGCAACACTTCTTGGACTATATAAATGAATTGCTTAAAGGCAAAAAGGGTTTGTTAGTGAAGCTATGAAGTTGCAAATATCACACAGTCTTGATTTCTTAAAACAAGAGGGAGGCATAAGAGATTTTACAGCTCCACCTATTGCTGAGATTGGTATGTTACACCATTTCAAACACACCAATCTAATTCAGTTTGTCTAAATGGTATTTGCATAACAATCCAGTTAAGGCCAAGTTGTATGTGGACCTTTCATTTCTCAATTTCTTTATTTATTTCAATAAACTCAATTCATTGACACCAATGTACAATGAACTTAAAAGGAGTTTGTGTGGGCTTTAAAAGTTAACATTAGACAGAAATAATTAGTGTAATGGTATATGGGGAGGACCTTGGCAAATGGGAGGAAGAACCCCGGATGGCACAACAGGCATGTAAAAGATTTCTCAGCCTACAGAAGGAGAGCAGATGTGGGATCCATTTCAGAAAGGACCCTCCCCAGTTTCCAGAAAGTAAAAGGAAAGAAGGGGAGAAAATGTCTAGGAAGTGTTAGCTTTGGAAGCCATATTCCACGCTGCCACATAGCCTGGGAGAGTGGAAGAGGGGTGATTTCAATTAAGTAGCTCTAAGTAGACAAAATAAAATTCTTTTGTTAGTCCAAGGTCATTTAGTATGGTGCAGGATGAAATAAGGATCTTACTTTTGGACGGATCATGATTGGGCCATCATGATGTGATGGCGACCAAGGGGGGTGGGGGTGGATTTGTAGTTTGAGAAATTGTGGAAAGCCAAAAAACCTTTTAGATTCAGGTTTCCACAGATGTGCCAGGTGCTATTCTAATAAAGGTACTTTTGAGATATGCTTATCTCAAAGTTACTGATTGGAATGGAGGTTTGCTGGAACGCTGACAGGGACATTCTCAAGCATCCAGGTTATGGTTGTTTCAAATGTGCTTTAAAAAAAAAAAAAGGCTGTTTTTTTACATATCACTTCTTATCCAAGAAGCTTCATCAGTTCTGACCTTTATCAGCTTCTTGGATGAGAAGCAAATGTTTTCTTCTTCAAAGAGAAAACATTTCTTCCTCCAGAAAAAAACATAGTCCAGTTGCATTTTGCAAACCAAAAAACCCACCTTTGAAACAAAGGAGAAATGTTTTCAATAAATGTTCAGTAGAAATGTTTCTAGAAGCCTGGCACTCTGACAAGTCAGCCATCCATAGACACATAGACATTAACAACATCTATAGGTTATGTAAAAGAGACAATCAACCAGCCCAAAAGAGAACGAAAAGACTCCAGCACTTCTCCATCAGCAATCAGCGCTGGGATCAACATAGATTAACTCCAAGGTTAACTTCAGACCAACAATCAAGTAAGCAATATCCCAATCAAGAAATTGGTCCTTGAAGAGCCCAACCAAACAATCTCTAAGACTGTTCCCACCCACCCACAGACACGCAAGACACCAGAATATAAATTGACAGCAAACAGCAGATAACAGATAATCAGAGCTGGAAAGGACCTTGTAGGTCATCTAGTCCAAGTGGGAGACCCTGCACCATTTCTGACAGATGGCAATCCAATCTCTTCTTGAAAGTCTCAAGTGATGGTGCTTCCACAACTTCTGAGGGCAAGGTGTTCCATTGGTTGATTGTTTCCACTGTCAGAAAGTTTCTCCTTATTTCCAGGGTGAATCTCTCCTTGTTCAGTTTCCATCCATTATTCCTTGTCTGGCCTACAGCTGCTTTAGAAAATAGCTTGACCCCCTCCTCTCTGTGGCAGCCCCTCAAATACTGGAAGATTGCTATCATGTCTCCCTTGGTCCTTCTCTTTACTAGAGTAGCCAAGCCCAGTTCCTGTAACTGTTCTTCATATGTTTTAGTCTCCAGTCCCCTAATCATCCTGGTGGCTCTTCTCTGTACTTTTTCTAGAGACTCTTTTCTAGAGTCATCAGCACTGATGATGTTACCTAGATAGGGTAACAAAACATCTGCAAGAAAACAAGCAAGCTCAGAGAGCCCCAAGGATACCTCATTTCAATCCTGAGCAACAAATATTCTTTTTTGGTAATGTTTTCAGTCTGGCAAGATTCTGTTAATATAATCTTACAATAGAGTTAGTATTCCTTGCTTTGCTTCTTGTCTAGATTACCCCGAAGGCCTGACAATGAGATCCATGTCCTTTGCAAGAGATATCCCTTGCTACCTCATTTCTTCAGCAGCTGAATATGATTCAAAAATATGCTGGCTGGTGCCCTACTTTCACAACCGTTCATGCTGCTCTTGCATTTTTGCCACTGAGCTCTCGAGAAAAAAAGCCCTGGATGTAACTGAGCCTATGAATCAGGTGCATTGTATCACCTGACACTTCTACAGCAGAAACAAGGAAGGTATCTTCAAAGCAAACGATACCGTGAAACTGAATGGGGCAGCCAAGCACTTGCATGCAATAAAAAAAAAAAATCTGGATCTCTCCCCTTTCAGATCTTTTCCCCCCATTCTTGTTGTTCTTCAGTTGATTTAATTATTAGAATGCTTCACCTTTTATTCACCTAACTTAGCCAGGCAGATGTCCAGCAATTTGAACAGCTGTAGCTGCATTTAACTCTGAACATAATGAGGCTTCAACAGGCTGCAGCCCTATGAAGAGAAGATTCTTGAAAATTTGGAGAAGAGGCATAGAATATGCTGAATGGGATTGGGGTGGGATGTCAGGTCTGCCCATGGCCTTTTAGAGTTACATGACAAATGTTTATATAAGGTGACATCTGTCAAGGGTGGGTCAACAGCGTGATTGATGCCCTATTCCTTTTTTACATATGAACCACATTAAACAGGGATGAAGTTTTGCAGTCAGCATCCTCATACACATACACACACGTGTGTGGGGGTGTGTGTGTGGGGGGTGCAAATAAAATATGAACTATATGAAAAATGTTTAAGGAACTGGAGAGAAAAGACAGAAAGTAATTTTAAGATGATAAATAATTGTATTTGATTCTGACCAGAAAAATCCAATTATGAGTTTTTTAGAGAAAAAAATAATAAAAATCAAAGAACTATTCTGTTACACTTCCAGTTGTTTCTTTCTTTCTTTCTTTCTTTCTTTCTTTCTTTCTTTCTTTCTTT